TATGTTATATGTCAAATATACGAAAGGCTTTAGTTAAATTAAACTGGGATAATATTTGAGGTACTTAGGAAACATGATTATCAGGAATTTAATAGTTGGGATATCTTATGTATGTTAATGATACATAGAATTTTGAATTATTGTTTTAAAATTATCATTCCACAAAGGTAGCTGAAACTAGTGCATTTCCAACATAGTTTTCTATACACTGGCTATATTAGGTTACTCCTGGTGTTGTTTCAAAGTGTAGTGATTTTTAAGTCCTATTCAAATATAATTAGAATTAACTCACTAGGTCAGGAATGAGTTTTTTAATCTATATATTTTTTTTCCCAGTGTTACCACTCTACAACCATGTTCAAGAATCAGTGTTTTCAAGTATTTACTAGGTTACAAAGTTTATATTACACATTCATGTACTTAGCCATATTTTTATAATATTTGGGTTGTATACTTTTTATTAGATAACAGAAAATCCAGTTTGAACTGGCTTAAATAGGATTAGTGCCTCATAACTGAAAAGCCAAGAAGTAGAATGTGCTTCAAGAATGTTCGATTCAAGCTTAGGTTGTCATTAACCATGATTGGATAGGCTCTGCCTGGGTCATTCCTATGTCAGAGGCCATTCTCATGTTACATGGCTAACAGATGAGCTTTTCTGCTCAGATACAAGTTGAGTGTCCCTTATACAAGGTAACAAGGTCAGTGGTAGAATTTTTCATGTGTGGCATCGTGTTAGAACGCTCAAAGTTTTAGACTTCGGATCTTTTTGGATTAGACAAGTTTGGTTTGTAACTAAATGATACTGATTAGGACTTCATTTTATATTATATATGTACATGCATACACATATACATATAAATACATATACACATACATATATACATATACATACATTGCACATGCCAATTAATGAGTTCTTCCCCTTATCCCCAGAATATAATTTTAGAGTATGCTGAGTTATAGTTGCTCTGTAGCATTTTACAGAATATTTTGTGGTTGTTACCTGTGTCCTATATCTCCTATTAGGTTACATCAGAGGATACAGTAGGTAGGATCTGGTTAATAATCTAAACCAAACAGAAAATTATCACATCTGCTTTGCAGCAATTGCCTGGTTTAGTAGTTGCTCAGATATTGTGACTTTCAAAACTTTTGTTGGAAGTTGTAGAATGTAGCTTCTTGTTATGGACACCATGGTATAGATTGGACAGTTCTAAATATGAATGACAGTGCTCTAAATATGAAACTGAAACTAGCATGATTTCACAAATAAAAAATTCTATACCTGGCCTGATGTGGCAAGTTAAATTTAAACAGGGGTATGATCAAAATATCCTACATTAGAGGCATAACTTTTTTTTTTTTGCTGCAAAAAGCTTTATTTTCATTTGGTCCAAGGCTTGGGAAGGGCTCCAGGATGGTTAGTTAGGAAGTTTCCCAATGGCTAGAGGCAGAAGCTCGGGCGGAAACCCTGATATCTGGTGAGGCAGAGATGGCCCCTCACAGGCTGCTGGACTCTGGAGTTTTCTAGTCGTGTTTGAGGGTGAGGCGTTCGAAAAGATCCTCGCCCAGCTGGGCCTGAGGGGCCGCCAGCCTGCGGAGGTTGGTTAAGTGGTCGCCCATCTTCTTGATGAGCTTCACCTCTTCATCCAGGAAGTGGTTCTCCAGGAAGTTACAGAGACGGGGGTCTGTGTGAGCAGAGCCCAAGGCATGAAGATCCACAATGGCTTGGTTCAGGCTCTTCTCCAGGGCCAGGGCGGCTTCCATGGCTTCCACGGTTTTACCCCACTCATCCTGAGAAGGTTTCTGCACATCCTGGTTCTCCATCTTCAGGAGGTGCTAGGCGCCCTCATGCTTCTCCTCAGCCAACTCGCAGAAGAAATGGCCCACACCCTCTAGGGTCACATCGTCGCGATCGAAATAGTAGCCCAGAGAGAGGTAGGTGTAGGAGCCTGCAGATGCTAGTTGACCAGGCGGTTGACGGCAGCCTCCACCTCGGTGGAGTAATTCTGACGAATCTGAGAGGTCATGGCTGGTCGTCAATACAGAGCTAACCACAGAAAAAAAACAGCGTTGGTTGGTCCTGGAAGCAGGCGACGGGCGAGAAGATAAGGGTCAGAGGTGGTGAGTGGAGAGGCAGTTGGTGGTGGAAAGGAGGAGTCCCGGGGTCTGTTCCGTCCAAACACTGTTGAAGCAAGACACAGATCCGCGGGACTGGTGCACGCTTTTAGAGGCATAGCTTTTAACCTATGAAGATAGGAATATATAAAACATAAAGTTCGGGGCTGGGAAGGTGGCTCAGTGGTAGAGCACTTGCCTTGCATGCATGAGGCCCTGGGTTCCTCAGCACCACATAAGTAAAAAGAAAAAAGCCGGAAGTGGCGCTGTGGCTCAAGTGGTAGAGCGCTAGCCTTGAGTTGAAGAGGGACAGCGCCCAGGCCCAGAGTTCAGGCCCCACGACTGGACCCAAAATAAACATAAAGTTCTTGTTGAAATTTTTTTTTTTTTTTTTTT